TTCAATTTTCTCCTAAATTGATCAATGTCCGAACTACGGGAGATTTTTTAATTTCCGCTGTAATTGGAAGAAACATTTTCCAAATTTGACTAATATTTCAAAATTACAATTTTCACCCAAGGGGTCTTGGTAGGTAAAAAGTAATCACATGGTAGTCAAATTTTGAAATGACACAAGGCTACAAATTGGGTAAATAAAATTAAAGAATGGTTTTTGTCAATTTAAAGCAAAATGCAATAAGCGACGAATAAAAAATATATATTTAGTTTATTTTCTCGCAAACAAAGCTTCCTGTTGGGAAATGCTCTTCTTTATAAAAGATCGGCCGCTTCAAAAGGAATCAAGTAGTAATTTTGCAAAAACTTTAAATCGGCGGGTTTCAAAAATAAAGACAAGTTATGAGTACGGCCTTGGATAGAGGGGTTCAAAACACATAACAACCTTTCTATCCACTTTTCCGCTAAAGTAACGAATAAAGAAGCAACATGCCATTTTKCSACTTCCCGCTGAATTTTAGGGAGAAATCTCCCAAATTTGACTAACTTTTCTAAGGTACAATTTCCATTGGAAAGCAGAAAGCCGTAACATGAATTCTCTGAATCCTCCCTCTTGTTATTTCGTGAATTGAGCAAAATGCTTTTAGGCCTACTGGAACTTCAATGACCCCATATTCTTTGCACACTCTTTTTTTCCAAAACTAAGAAGACTGTCAGAAATGTCTATTTTTTCATCAGGGCGACTATTTCATCTTTGAATAACGGGGCTTAGAGAAATTAGTTCAGAAGAATATGCACTTTGTTCATTCMAGGAAAATTGTAATTTTTAWGRATTTYCCTGGACTSTTCAATTGGTTTCTGTTRTGKTTTCAAATGAAGTAGAAATCAGTGGTTTGCTAATGAACATGCARAATCCGTTGGTAAAACCGAATGAAAGGAYTCGCGTGTCTCTAATCCGCATAACCCAAACGATTCAGATGAATAGAGCTGGCGCTCTAAATTGTCTATTCATTGCTTGATTTGGACAATTCTTCAATGGGCCGAAACCTTCACCGGGTGAGCGCTTTATTCAACTGGTTAATTGAGGTAACACTTAGCGTCTGTTCCGCTCATTCCAAAAGGGTTTTGTACATTTGTGTGAGCCACATTTTAAATCTATTGTTTATTTGTCACGGATTCTTTCCAGATTATATTAATGTGTTGCTCATTCCGACCCAAAGTCTAGTTTTTTCCATAAAACTTAGCTTGCTGCTACCTAAAACTCCCTAATGTTGACTTCAATATTGTTTATTACACAGTTTAGTCTCGAATCCAAACAAGCGTATTCTTACCTAAACAAAGTCGGATTCGAATCCAATAAGCCAATGTAAATAATATCTGCCTTATTGAGGCCTCCCTGGTGAGCCTGTTACATAAGAGCGACGAATGTCCTCCAAAGGGGAGAAGCAAATAATTGATAATATTCGCATATTTCGTCCTGAAAATGAAAAATTCACGCCGTTTCGAGTTGTTTCTGTTGAATTTTCCAAATTAGAATGCATTAGCCAAACTGGATGGCACCGTCGAAGCCAAAACACGACGTTCCAGCGTGCATCTTTGCCTGGATATAAATAAGATAGTTATTTAAAGATCGTCCCTATGGAACGGGCTTGTCAACCTATCCTAACATTTAGTTTCTTGGGTTCAACTTGGATTTATTTGTGATGTTTTGCATTCCGGAACAGTGGTGTCGTTCAAAGTCTTATAGAGCTGAAAAATGCGTTTTCTGAAGAACAAGAGTACAGTTTCTGAAACAAGTCAAACGTTTTGAAACCATCATCCGCTTATAGCAAAATTTGGAACTCAAACATTTCTAATGACTTTACAAGTGCTTCTTAAGCTTTTGTCCCTTAATCTCCCCGGACGGGCATTTTGTGGGCCCCCACTTTTATTTTGTACAAAAACTTGAACAACAAAAACAATTCCAATAAACGGGCTCTACGGTGCGATTCACTGATTCATTTGAAAACTTTTTGTCTTGTTACTTTTTCACCTTTTATTTTGTTTGTGAGATATTTAAGAAAATTCGGGACAATGTAGTCGCGGAAATTTCATCAAACCTTACAGCAAGACAAGAGAGGGAAAATCAATGGTTTGTGCCAACTTGAGTTTGTGCAGAATGTCACTACAAGTGTTTTTCGTGGTAGAAAAAAACAAAAAATTTCAAACATTAATTTAATCGCAACTACCATTACCTACAAACTCACACATTAATACAAAAATTATAATAATTGCTCACAGTGCATTCCTCCAGCCAACAAGAAACTAGTGTATTAACCGCAGACGTTATTTGAACGTGACAAATTTTTCTTTAGAAAAAAATTAATCCATTTCTCTCGGGCGTTTTTTAAACGATCGATCTTAGAGTTGTACCCAAACAAAAAAATCTGAAGGATTCAGATCGGCCGAGTGTGGCGGCCAAGTCACTGGCCCTTGATTGTCTCCAAAACGATGCGATTTAAAGAATTTTTTTTATATCCAGTAGGAACATTATTCTAATGCCGAATCACTCCGAATAAATATTGCCCCGGACATCCAGCATAACATAAGAACACACTGACCATCCTTACGAATACTCCAAGTGATAGACGAGTTAAACCGGACTAGGGATTAAAATCCGGCTCAAAAAGACCATTCTTAATCCATGACACACTGGAGGACAATTTGCAATATAAATGTCTAGACCTCGCTAACATAATATTAATCTTAAATGATATGAGCGATCCGAGCGCGAGCAGTATTCAGGATGTTTCCTATAAATATCTTTTAGGATCTCGAGTTTGTGAAATATTCGCAAGACGAAATTACGCTCTGCTAGGAAAGTAAGATTAAGGACATCGTTTTAAGGAACGGATACACTTTGTTCAGGCCCAAATGGGATTTCCTTTAAGCGAGAAAATAAGGTTTTATATAGTCTCCTAATTAAGCAAAGGGTTTAGGCTGAACGCGAGCTCAACATGAGTTAAACGACCAAATTAAACGGCTTTTTTATAATATAAATTCTACGCCTCAATTAGGCCTGGATGACCCGAACAACTCTCTATAACAGTAGGGGAAATGTGAGCTGGTAATAAATTAACTTCTGTTTTGCTAGAACTGCTTTTTCCTTCTTGCCTACGCTGATAAAGCAACTCTCCAAAGATCCATATGGCTTTTCTTATCGGACATTTCTTATTCGCAAAGTCATTGTCTTCCATTTATCTTGTTCGTATCAAAATTTGGCATTCCCTTAGGAAAAATGTGTATCTACTAGGGCTGTTTGTTACTGTCAATTTATTTTTATTAAAAGCCAGCCCTGAAAAAGTGCCAAATTTTGAGGTCAGAGGGAACGCTGTATGGGACGAAAAGTTTTACCAATGGATTTCGAGAAAAAAAATGGTTTGTGCTTATGATTTATTTGAGGGAATCAGTTTCTGATGAAATTTGAATCGTATTTGAAGAAAGCTTGGTTTGCTTTAAAAAATTTTGGCCTGAAAACCGCTGGAGGTATCGGAATTATCGTAAGAAATATTTTGGTGGAGTGTTTGTTGAACTAAATTTTAGTAGAGGAAAATTGAGAATTTAAATAGGGCCGTTATATCGGCTCAACCGTTATATCGGCGATAGCGCTTAAAATTTCTGAGTAGGAGCTCTAAAAGAGGAACATCTGAAAGAGGAGCATCTGAAAGAGCCTCTCAATAACTGTCTCTAAATATATGGGTTTTAGGGTAAATTTTAAGCGTCTGAAAAGGTGGAAGCAAAATCTTTAGTAAATTGAAAAAAGGATTAAATTCAAGCAAGGGCGGATCCAGGGGGGTGGGATCATGCGGGTCATGACCCCCCCATTCAATTCTCTATCCAAGGATGCCAAAACGAATTCTCTCGAATGGTTCTTGAGAAACTTCGAAAAAAGCAGCGTCATGTTCAAG